ATTATGCTAAATGGATTGGTCCATTTATTAAAGACGAATATTTCTCAACAATTTCAATGGTTCCAGCTCTTTTTGGACTTACTTTTTATATTATAATCCAAAAATTCTCTCTTTCATTCTTCATTTCAATGAAATTTATTCCATTTATGTGGATTATTTATATTATTGGTAGTTATTTTGCAGTACCACTTTGTAATAATTTCTTTAGTAAACAAAAACATGGAATCAATTATTATGTAGCTGCAAATGGAATTGGTTTTTCTATGATGATTGTTTGTATGTTTGTCACTGTTTCTTTAAGCAAAAATAGAGTTTACATATTAAATTCTATTAATGTCACTGGGCATAATTTCATTTTGTTTGTTGCTTATCCTGCTATTGGATATATTCTTTCAATGATTGCTTGTGGATTCTCTATTCCAAAAGTTTCACTTGCTTCTCTTGCAAAAGAAAAGAAAAAGGATTAAACATCTAAATCTTAATTCAATTGATTAGAAATATTTATTTCTTTTTGTTTTTTTTATTCAAAATAATATTGATTCTTTTGAATTATTTCTTCTAATCCCATTGTTTGTAATAATTTCACAACTTCTTCTTTTTCATAATGTTTACAGTCTTTTATTATTTCTGGTGTAAGATACTTCTCAAGGCATGTCCCCTTAATCATTTCTTTAACAATTCGATAAATATCTTCTTCTTCATTTGTCATTCTATTCTCTTTATTATCCTCAGATAATTCTGTTTGATTAATAATTGTTTCATTGTTAATACTTAAGTCTATTTGACTGTCACTTACTTCATCAGTTACTTCTTTTGAAATATTATTTTCATGAGAAGGAAGTGACAAAATTAAAGAGGAACAGACAGATGAATCAGATAAAGAAACTTCGTTTTGGTTATTTTCAACATCTTCTTTTTTTGGGGTTATTCCTTTAGTTTCATCATCGCACTTGAGTTCGTTGGTTTGTTCTTCTTTCTTTTTTTGTTTCGTTTCTTCTTCAATATCCCTTTCATTTTCGACACCCTCAATTATTTCAACAGGTGGATTAGTTGTAACAAACTTGTTTTCATTAAGATCTTCATGTGCAGTGAAGTTATCTGCTTTAACATCATAAGTATTGTTATAATGCATACTAACAGTTATGCCTTTACTACCAATTATTAATTTTTCATCAATTATTTCTTTGTAACTAGGAGAATATAGTGGATAATTAGTGGCAATAGCAGTGCCTTTGAATTTAGTTAATGCACACGCTAATACTGACGTACTTGGGTGTTTATATCTATCATGTTTTCCATATGAAAACAGAATGTATTGATGATTGAACTCATTTATAAATTTATTTTCATTAAAAGTAGTTTCTGAGCCATGGTGGTTGACTTTAATAATCTGTATCTGGTTTATTCCCATTGAATGGATGCATCGTCTCACATAGTCATCGCAATTTATTCCAAGATCACCACAAGTTAATAAGTGAATATCCCTAACGCTAATTAAACAAGATAAACAAGATCTATTTGTTGCGGAGAATGAATTGCCTTCTGATGGAAGTGGGTTATTTTCAAATGCGATCATTCCATCACATCCAATGAGTTGAATGTCTATATGGTTTTTCTTACCAAACTCTCTTTCTCCAAAAAGTATGTCAATGACAGAAACTGGTTTAAGTTTTGAAGAAGTACCAAAAATTTCATCTATTCCTATGTAAGTCTTTTTCGGTTGTAAACTTTTAATAAATTCATGTTTAATACTTTCTTGAGGACAAAATAAGTAATCTGTGGTGTAACCTGTGTTTAATAACCCTTTATAATGATCTGCATCCCAATGACTAATAATAATAGCATCAAATGTTTTACTTTGTTTATTAAGGTTTAGTTTAAAAAGGATTTTGTTTAAGAAATTATATTGTTCTTTTCCTAAATTCCGTTCTTTTAATTTATTTTGGTTCCCAGCATCAATTAAAACTCTTTTTCTGACTATCCACTTATTTCCATTATAATTTTTTATTAACAACAACGCACAATCACCCTGACCAACATTAAACATATGATAACTTATTTCCCAATTCCCTTCTTTTGGTCCATCTTCATTATATTCTTGTTCTGAATTTTCTATTATACTATTTTCATCTTCTGATGTTTGTATTGTTTCTTTTTCATTAAGTTCAGTGTGTTGTTGTTGTTTTCCTTCTGTGCTTTCATCATTGGTTAGGCTCTTTTTTTGTTTATCTTCTTTAATATCTTCTTCTTTAATATCTTCTTCTTTATTAATTGTTTGTTGTATTTTAGTTATTTCTTCATTTTCATTGTCAATCTCTTCTTTATCAAGTAGGTTTGGTGTTTGTTTAGTAAGTTCATCTGCTTCTGTATGATTTTCTATTTTTCTTTCACTATCATTTTGAGTTTTTTCAATATTATCTTTTATGAAGTTGTCTTCTTCTTTCTCATTATTGTTATCTTTTAGTTCAGTTTTATTTTTTTCTTCTTCTTTCAATTGTATGGTATTATTATTTTCTACATCCAGTTGTTTACTTTCTACATTGTTACTTTCCTTTTCAATTTGTTTTTCTTCTATCTGTTTTTGTGTAATTTCTTCTATTTCACTTTCTTCAGTTAATGGTTTATCTTCATTTTTTGTTTCAAGGTTATTACCATTATTATTTCCTTCTGTATTATTTTCATATTCTCGCTTATTCAATTCCTTAATGTTTGTTATGTCTTCAATATCTTGTGATGTTTCAGTTTTATTTTCAATGTCTTCACTATGTTCATCTTCCATAGTTTTTTTTTCTAGTTTTATATAATTGTTATCTTCATTTTTTATTTTTGCTGTGTCAACCTCATTTTGTTCTTCTTCATTAATAGTTGTTTGTTTATTTTCTTCTATTTTTGTTTTTATTTCATGTGTTGTATTTTCTTCTTGTAGTGATTCTATTTTTACTTCTGAGATTGTATCTTCTTCTTTTTGTTGTTGTCCTTGAGGCTTTTCGTTAATAATCTCATTCTTTGCTTCTTGTATTGTTTCGACTTTTCCTTCGCTGTTTTCTTCTAGTATTGTTTTTTTTAATTGTTGGGTTTTGTCTTCTTCCTCTTCATTTGAAATCTCATCGTGTGTTGTTTCATGTATTGGTTTTTTTGTGATATCTATCTCTGTTTCTTCTAAGACATTTTCTGAGACTTTTATTTCATTCTCTTTAATATTTTCCATTTTTATATCAGTAATGTTCTTTTCTACCACCTTTTGACCGTTATCATTTTCAATATCCCCACTGTTTTTAAGTTCTTCAGGACTATTACTTAACACCTCTTCTTGAAGGATGTTACTTTCACTTTTCTCAACCTTTTCTTTATCATCTTTGATTTCTTGAATTTTCTTTTCTTTCTTAATAATCTCTTGTTTTGGGTTAATTGTTTGACTACCTTCTTCAATTTGTTGTTTATTTTCAGATTGAATTTCTGGTTTGTCAATTGTATTTTCTTCTTTATTAAATGTATCAAAACTTTCTTTGTTTTCATTTATACTTTCCAATGTATCTGCCAATTCATCACACTTTTTAAATTCTTCTTTTTTCTTTTGACTATCTTCATCATTATTTTCATTTTTATTACGTTCATTTTCTTCTTTTTTATCTTCTTCTTTTTTATCTTCTTCATTGTTTAATTCTTCTTTATTAACTTCTTCTTCACTGGATTTATTGTTTCCTTCTTGACCAAATATTTGTATATCACCTGACTTATCTTCATTTTTAGAAATTGCCTTAATTGATGTTTCTTCAACAATTTGTGTTTCAAGGTATATTTTTTTATCATTTTCTATATTATTACTTTCACGTTCTTTACTTTCGGTTTCATTTTGTGTTTTTTCAACTTCTCTATTGATATTTGTATTTTCATTTTCATTTGCTATTACTTTTTCTAATATTTCTTCTTGACTACTTTGTTGAGGTTCAATTTCTTTTGTTGTTTGTAGTGGAGTGCTTGTTTTAATTTGTTGATTTTCTTCCTTTTCACTTTTAATAGTTTCATTTTCTTCTTTAATGTGTAAGTTCCTTTCTTGTGACTTCTCATCTTCTATTTTATATTCTTCCGTGCTGTCTTGTTTATTATCATTTTCTTTTAGTTTATTTTCTTGATTATTTTGTTTAATTTCTTCTCCTTTACTTTCTTCATTTATTTGTTGTTCAGTTGTTATTTCAAATTTGTCTTTCTCTATTATTTCTTCAATTTTAGTTGGTTTATCATCTGTATTGATTTTATCTGTAAATGCTTTTTTATCATTTTTTATTGTGTTTATATTCTCATCATTTTCTTCTAATTTCTTTTGTTCTTGAATATTTATTTGATTTTCTTTTTGTGTTTCACCATTATCATCAGTGTCTTTTTGTGTGTGATTGTTTTCTTGTTTAATTTCTTTTTGTTCTTTTATGATTACTTCACCAAATTCTCTTTTTAGCCATGGTTCAATATCATTTTTCTTTCTTGGTAAATTTTTTATATGGTTATAAATTGTTTCACTGTCATTATTAAATATAACTAAAGAACTGCGTGTAGTCCCTTTCCTTTTATAACACCAACAATACTCTTTTTCATTATTTTCTGTAGTTTTAGTAAATTTGAAAATCACTCCTTCTTTATCTTCTAACCAAAAACCAAATTTTTGTTTGTTTTTTTCTGATACTTCTTGTTCATACTCAGATATATTGATTGAACTATCAGATGTTATATCTTGTACATATTTACCATTGTCTAAGTGAAAGATTATATACCCCTTCATTATTGTTTCGGCTTGAGACATACTTTAAATGGATCTATAAACTCCGGTGTGTATGTCAATTGCTCATATTTAATAATTACCCCTTTTCTTGTAAAAAAAATATACCCCAAAAAATTAAAAATGTTTATAGACAGTCTTTTCCTTAGAAATTATAGAAATAATACTTAACCTAAAATTCAGAAAAAAATGATTGTGCGAAAGGGTTTAGTATATTTTTTGGTATATGCCTTTTATATAAATAATATTATCAGTTGATATTCTTAATGATTATTATCAAACAAAATTCCTTTTAAACATTATGATGTTATTTTCCAGTCTAGGTATATAAGACGTTGCATAACATAAATTGGTTATTATAGCAAAAATTTTTACTACTTTAAAATTACATTTCTTGATATTAAGTAATATTTTAATCTTCAATTAACTTTATTTATTTGTGTCTTATTTTAAATATTCTTTTTACCATTTAATTAAGCTTTAAATATTATTTTCTTTCATAGTTATTTTATGATGGTTAATATTTATTCTTTTTTATGATTAATTATGATTAATTTAATTTTGTATGACTTGTATTGAACATGTAATTCGATTTATTTTTATTTTGTAATATAAGACTCATTAATAAATAATATTAATTCGTTTATATCTATTTCTCTGCTTTGATTGTTACTTAAAAAACATTAATTTTTTTTTTAAATGTTTCAATTCAAGTAAATTCTTTTTTATAAAAGAATATCAATTAATTTTTCATTTCTATTTCGAATTGATAATGTAGGTTTGAATAATTAACAATTATTTCTGTAGCTTTAATAAAAATTTATAAAATGTATCAATCAAATAAACTTTTTAGTTGTTATTTTGGTAAATATTCATAGTTTAAATACTCTTCATTTTGTATAAGTTATTTTGTTTAATCACTAATACTTTTTCTTGAATATTAATATTTCTGTTAATACTTTTGTACTTTTTTCTTATAGTTTAACCATTTATTTTTAATTTTACTTTTATCATTACATTTTTTTTATTTCTATATTATTTCTTCGTAGTAATTTATTCATTCACCTTTTAAAACTTCTTTTATACTTAGCTTAATTCATTAAATAATTATTCTTTAATTTTATTTTTCAGTAATTTTTGTCTCAAATTGTTATTAATTCTTTACTGTATTATTTGAATGTATTTTCAGTTTTCATTCCGTTCGTTTTAATTTTATAACCATTATTAGAATATATCTATAAAATAGATTCTAAATAGATTCTAAATATCTTTTATAATTTTTAATAGTTTTTGTACCTATTATTATATTTTTATAAATAGTATTCAATATAAATGATTTGAATAATTTGGAAAAATCACATGGAGAAAGATTACTAGATTACGTATAATAATAATGATATAAAAGTGATAATTGATTCTTAGTGAAAATACTTTTATTTTTTTATCCAAAAAGATATACTACTCAAGAATTTATCTGATGGATATCACAAACAATCTATTGATATAGATATGAGATAGTATACTTTAATAACAAAAACGAAGTACATTCATAAAAATAGCAGTTAATAAAAGATATAATCAAGATAGATGACAACTCAATGAAGTAGATAATAAATAAACATATGTTCTTTAAATAACATAATAACGTTTATAAGAAATGTTATAAAAATTAATAGAAGAGCAAAAAATGTTAATGAATAGATATATGTACAGTTGAATTATATAAGTGTTGAAAAATTATTATTTTATCTATATCAAACACTACTTTTGTTCAACCATTCTTTTTTGAATAAGAGGATATTAGAAACAATAAAAATAAAAAGAATTGTTTTTTTTTTTAAGAAAATAAAATGGATATTTTAAATAAGAAAAAGAACTAACTAATTAATAAAAATGGAATTATATCAATTATTACGACAACCGTATTATGAAGCTATCAAAGAAGAATTAGAAATTACGAGAGACAATATTAAAAGTATAGACTACAGTAAATTTGGTAATAATAAATTAAGAAAGGCAATTGGACTAGTTCAAGTATTACACTCATCTTTTCCTGAATTACAAAAGTATGTTAATTTACCAATTTTAAGTTCAACACCATTTGAATTTGGATTAATGGTAAAACAATATTTTACCCAAAAAATTGAACCATTTCCACGTCAATATTTAATACAACGACTATACCCAATTTTTGATATATTTGAAATAGTAGAAATTGGAAAGCAAATAGAATGTATTGTTGATGATAGCGTATCTTTTGTTATTGTCTTACCTAATGGAGGAGAAAAAACAACAACATTATATGATAAAGACTATATTTTACATGACTTTTATATATTTTCAATGAGTTATTTAAATTGTTATCAAAATGAATATTTTAAACGATTAGATTATGGAAAGCATAGCCTTCATACTTCTCATAATAACACACTTGTTTTATTTCGTGGTAAAGAGAATAGTATCGACGAATTGGCTGATATGATTAAATCAGAAACTGATAATTACTCTTCATTTCATTATAATTCTCATGAAATAATCAAACTGTTCTTCCCAAATAAATTATATTATCCGTGCAAAGGAAGAAATTGTAAACATACTCAGTGTTATGATATTGAAACAATGATTAGTCATGTCGTTCAATATGAAACTTGTCCTTGTGGAAAAAGGTGTTCATTTAATGAAATTGTTATTGACTCTCACTTTATGGAAATTATGAAAATGGCTAAGGATGAGGATTGGTGTGTAGAAGTAAATAATGACAAAATAATTCAATTTTATAATTATGAAGATGGAAAAGATTTGAATGTGGCTATTGAAATTGATTAATTAGGATTTTACTGTAATTAAATTTGACAAAATATCTTCTTTTTCTTTTTAACATTCTTTGTTGTAAACTAAAACATATTTGTTTTAAGTCTTTGAAAAAAACATTGTTAGTTATTATTAAAGTACTTTCATTAAATATAAATTATATCATATGGAGTTTAATTTTTGTTTTTCTAACAAATGCCATCAAGTCATAAGACTAAATTTTCCTTTCTTATTAGTTATTTAATAAATTGTTGAGTGTTGTGATTGAGTTAAACTAATAGTTTTTATTTTTATTTATCAATATTCTTAATTAATTCATTACCTTTTCACATAAAAATAAATCTCAACTTTTCAGTTAAAAAATCTGTTTAATATCTTTTTTATTAAGAGTTTCAAATGATGAAATAACAATTAAGTAATTTCTCAAAAAAAACAATCACAATTTATTTATTAAAAAAAGATTTTTTTCATTCACTTTTTATCTTTTTTATTACATTAAAAAAACAATAAGATTTTCAATTATTGTATCATCACTTGTGTCTTCTTTTGAAGCCATAAGAAAATAACGTTTTAAGTTCTTGAAGAAAGACTATAAAGAGATATTTTGTTGTTGTTGGACCGATTTTCTAAAAATATATTTCTTTCAAAAACAAAAAATTAATATAATTCATTTTTACTTTTATTATAGTTTAACTGAATAACATAAATTTTCATAAGAATGTTATTTGAAAAAGAAAGAATGACGAATAGAAGACGAATAAATGTTTGAAGAAACTGTATTTTGATATTTGAAAATTGTTATGGATAAAACACCTCTCAATAAAAGAGAATTAGAAGTATGGCAAGAACAATTGTTTCAATTGAAAAGTACCATTGAAAAGAAAGAAATGGAATTAGAAAGAAGAGAGCAATTAATCAAAGAAAGGGAATCTTTTCTTATTAAACGAGAAGAAGAGTTGCATAGAAAAGAAAATGAA